TAGAAGAAGGAGAAGAGAAAGCAAGCGAGAGAAAGAGAGAGAGAGAGAGAGAGAGAGAGAGAGAAACACGCAGATCACTCAGAACTGAGACTGTCCAGCAGCAAGGAGTGTCTGAAAGATAGAGACCGTAAGCACAGGGAGAGCAATGGCTGACAGGTAGTTGGTAGGGTGTGGAGAATCACCTCTAAATGGAAGAGGATGTGGGGAGCACAGTGGCTGGGGGCAGGGGATGCACGCTTGGTGCAGGGAGGGCTGCGTGGGAGCAGAGAGGATTCTGCAAGCTGCCCTGCCTGCATCACAGGCATCCTGAGAACAAGTGCAAGCAGAGAGATCCGGCCCTTCAAGAACCACCTACCCAGACGCCCCCACAAAGATAGTATCCAATGCCAAGTCAAAGCCAAACAGCAACCAGTTTGGGCCCCTGGATGATGAACACTGTCTCGAGAGCAGAATGCTGGCCACCTCTGAAAGTTACCTTCCGGTAGCCACAGAGAGAAACCGGGGAGCTGTTTGTATTGTCTGCAGTGCTCCATGTACAATGCTGAGAGGTGTGATCGCACTTCCTTTACTGGTTGCTAAGCATATTGTTACTAGGCGACGGCACCGAGATGATGCACAAGGCTGAGGTTCTAGGAGCTGTGCATGTTGAAAGAGCTGCATGCTGAGGAAGAGTTGCAAAGTGAAGTGGGGCATAGGCTCTGTGGGTTTTGCTTTGATGGAGTGGTCTTGGCAAGAGATCCTGTGAATGGTGCCGCACCCCCTTAATCCCAGCGCTTGGGAAGCAGAAGCAGATCTGTGACTTCAAGGCCAGCCTGGTCTACAGCATGAGTTCCAGCCAAGCAAAAGCTACATGGTGAGACCCTGTCTTGGGGGAGAAGGGTGATGTCATACATACAGTGTTTCGTTTACTGCTGGCCATGGTTTTCAAAGCAGTGAGAGAATCATTTCTCCAAAACACAGAGAGTAAGAGAGGCCATGCATTTGAAGACTTCCTACGTGAAAGGAGGAAAGGAAGCGACTCTTTGTTACACTTAGATTAGAGAACCTTTGGGAGAGGAGAGGTCCCCTGTCACGGAGAGTCATGTGTGCTTCGTGGCAGTTCTAGTTCCAGGTGTCTGATAATTCAGCACAGCAAAGAGAAAAAACTCTCTACTAAAAAGAGATATCCAGTAAAAGACAGTGTCGTTGGGAGGAAACAATTCCAACAGTTGCTGAGGTGGAGAAAAACATTCTCCATAAAAAAAGAGTTTGCACTCAGGAGTTGAGAAGGTCCACCCCAGCCTTTCCTAAAAACTTTGTTCCACAGAGGCACCCCTAGCCCAGTTAGTGTGGCCTCTAGAGTTGGTACAGGACACTTCTCTGACCTGGGTGAGAGGAGATCTGGGATAGCTTCCTGAAGACGCATGGTAGCAAGCTGACAAGGATATCAACAGGTGGAGAAGTAAGAGACAAGGAAGGCCACTGGGGATGAAAGACCAGCTCCCTGGTCAAGGAACAAGACATGAATAAGACTTGGGAGACCACGGTGTCTCTTGTAACCTGCGGCATATCCTGTTTCCTGCATTCCTCATGTGACCATCAGGGCCCTGGCTTCTTGGCCTTCTCTGTGGTGGGTATCATATAAGCTCCTCTCTGACTCATCTCTTCGTGAAAACTTCAGGCCTGTCAAAGGTTTCATTTCTTTTCCAGACCAGAAATCACCTGTCCATAACAGAATCTGTCTACCATCACCATCTTTTCAGTTGACAAGAAAGTCAATGGAGCAATTTTAGACAGACAAGCCACCCAGTGCCACCATCAGAATGTCAGGTTTGCAACCTGTAAAACGCAAATGCCCACTTCTTCACCAGCCCCCAAGCCCCTCCACACTCCACCTCTGGCTCAGTTTGTCTTTGGGGGACTAGCTCACTGTGGGACCTAATTAATGAGTTCTTCTCTGTCAGAGTACAACCACTCCAGCCCTTGTGCTATCCAGGTAGCTCTCCTCTGTTGAGTCAATGCTTGCCTTGAGTTCACTCAGATTTCAACATTGGCTACACTGTCTCGAAGATCTGACATCTTTATTCAGACATGAGTCAATCATGAAGAGGGGATGGAAACAGAAGTCCTTCCAGGAAGAAAACTATCTGGATAGAAATTGTTCCATTTGATGACTGCAGTAGAAGATGAGGCTCGGAGAGCCTGGGCAGGGAAACAGGAGGAGAAGGAGGGGAGGAGACCAGAGAAGTAGTGAATACTTTATCCTCTAACCTTCCCTTTCCTTTCTCCCCTTTCTCTCCATGCAGTAGGCAAAATCCTCATTGTTTCCTGTAGTCTGTGACATCTTGGGGTCATTGGGGGACCAAGTTCTTTGATGTGTCTTGAAGTGATGTAGCCAAGAAGAAACAGTGAGTTTGAGTCCCAGCAACCACACTGTGGCTCACAACCACCTATAATGAGATCTGGTGCCCTCTTCTGGCCTGCATATGTACCTTCCAGAGACCATGCAGAGTTAGGATTTGGACTAAGTGCAGTCAGATTGGCCAGGGATGGGTCCCAGCTGGCTCTTCGGTTACACACACTTGTGTCTTCTGTAAGTGTTTCCACTGACACACAGAAGAACTAAACAGACTGATTATCTGTGATATGCAATGCACCATGCAGAGTGCATTAAATACACATGTATCTATCTCCTTTTAATCAAACACTGGCTGTCAGTGTGGAGCATGGTGCAGTGTATGGGAAGGCTGAGCAGGAGGATTTGCAAAGTGTTTGTGGTCACATGGCTGGGAAGCAGAGGGAGCATACCTAGAAACAGAGGTCTCAATTCATCCTTGTAACCTGTATCTCTGACAATGGAGAATTGCCTGTGTGTAGACCAAGGCTCCCTCTAGGGTAGGAGACATTGCAGAATACCAGCTTTGGCCCTGAAGCTCTCCTCCAAACTCCCTACTGGAGCTTCTTCCCTCAGCTCTGTCTCTGTGTCTTGCTCTTTGCCTTAACTTCTCTTAATAAAACCTGTGGGGACCCTCAGGATCATGGTGTCTGGGGCAGGAAGGTGCGAGAGCATGTTTACCACTGTCATGAAAAAAAAATGGAGTAAAGAACTGAGCTTGGGGGTTCTTTCTCCAAGCAGTTTCTGGATATCAGTGTACATGACAATGGTTAATAGCTTATAAAAGATGGAAGGGTAGTTACCAACAGTGCATGGCAAGAAGTTTAGCTGGCTTAGTTAAGGCGCATTCTGGAGCTGTGGGTCTCTTCCAGGGTGACACTATCATTTAGACGGGTATAAATAAACAGCAAAGGGGAAAACTTCCCAGAGACAAGTCTGGAACTTTCCAGAGCTTCTTGAATTTATGTGGAATCCACAGGTCATGGGGACACCATACTCCTGGGGCATACCAGGGCCTTTGTTAGCATGGACCAAGGCAAAGAGCAAGACTCAGAGACAATGTTGGAGGAAAGAGCTGCAATAGGGAGTTGGGGGAGAGCCGCAGGGCACAAGG